TCAGGGATTGCCCCTGAAAAAGCTCCTTGGGGAGCTGGCGAAGGGCATTATTCTGCACATGGAGCTCCTGTAAGTGTGCCAGCTGCAGGACAGGCTTGGGGAAGGTCCGGAACAGGTTGTTGGAGATGTTGAGGTACTGGAGGCTGCCTTGACAAGCTGCTAGGTCCCTGGGGAGGGCACCGAGACGGTTGTTGTTCAGCCGCAAGTGTTTAAGCCTGGGGAGGTGGGAGAAAATACCCTCCGGGATGACCCGGATTTGATTCTGATTCAGCTCGAGCTTCTCTAAACAGACCAGGCTCTGGATTTCATTGGGAAAGTCCACAATCTCATTCTTGGACAGTATCAGCTTCTTCAGGTTGCAAAGCTTAGAAATGCCAGTGATGCTCCTGAGCTTGTTCCTGTCGAGGTCAAGGCTCTCCAGCATGGGATTGCTCAGGACTGCTGGAGGCAGCACACGCAGCCTCCGGGTAGAGAGACTCATTTCAGGTAAACCATCCTCCTGCTCCTGACCTGGATGCATGGGACAGGGTAGGTGGTTAGGAGAGACTTTCACCCTTCGGATTGCAGACCAATTTTTCCCTTGAGCTCTGCACAACGTTGGAATTGTTTTGGCCAGCAAGGAAAACCAGAGACAAAACAGAGGAGCTGCTCAAGCAGCTCAAGAGGGGAACCAAAGCTGAGGCACAAGGATCTTGGCTGGGCCTGAAGACACAGGGAGAAACAGCGCCCACCAGACAAAGTGTCAGGTTAACAGCTTTGCTCCAGCTGCAGACGCATGTACCCCAAAACTCGCAGGTTTCCAATCCCAGCATGGGACGAGCTGACGCTGGGAGGAGAGCAGCTCTCCAAATAACTCCTCCAGCCTGCCCGCAGCTCTTGACCACAGCCAGGGAGATGCGTTGCAGACAGGGCTAGTGAGTTCAGACACTTCCTCTCTCACATCCTCTTCCCACTCCAGATGTATGCTGCAATTCCCCGCAGAGATGCTCCCAGGAGACCAGGGGAATAACGCGGGGACGGCAGGTCCCCCACAGGACAGGGTGTGCAAGAAGGGACCCAGTGATGGCCAAGGGCATCGCCGAAAAGGAGGGTGTTTGGAGTAGAGAGGTTTGCAGGCGAGAAAAGAGTGCCAGGGGGGATGTGGATCACACGATACTAGAACAAAACATGGTCAGCTTTGCTTTCCTTTCCCTTGTTTCACTTCCTCACCAGATCACACTGAGTACAGCATCGCCTTGTGCAAGGCAGCTGGCTCAGGACCCACTTGTCACTAGTTCTCAGCATCACCACCCAAACCTGGGACATGCAATGAGGCCAGCAGGAA